AAATTGCCAGCCTCTTTCTGAGACTGATTTCAAATCCCAACATTCTCAGTCCAAGCACATATGAATAAGCAAAAAGGAGAAATGCCTTATGGCATGTTCTGTCTAAAACAGACATTCCACCAGATGTTTGAGAATCTGCAGAGAGTGGAACTGATCTGCTCTAATGTGGTGTATACAAATGTGTAGTCACTTTGTGTGATGATTCCCCCACCACACAACTGCCAATTTTCTGTCCTCCTACTCAGTGGTATGTATGCACTTGAGATACTACAAAAATCTTGTTAAAAACTCATCAAGAGAACATAATTAATATAAATTCTAAGAGTAAAAATAATACACATATGAGTGCTAAAAGATATGTTTTAAATTTCCTTGTACAAGGACATTAGTTTCACTAAAACTATCATTCCACAATATTTTAAAACAACTTCACAGTATATTTAGGTATTTGTTCATCTCTGTTATTAAATTCTAAACATTCTTCCTTAAGACAGACACTTAAAATCTCAGCAATGAAGCCAGGCAGAGGCAGAAGGATTTGGAGTTCAAGGTCATCTTCGTATATAGGGACTCTAGGGCCAGCCTGGGTTACAGGAGATCCTGTGTGTAAACAAACAAACAAAATAACCCCAAAGCAAGCAAACAAACAATACAGTAGTAGAAAATAGTTTATAGCTCACAACATTTAATTCTCTTCTGGACTTTAATGAAATTAAGTTTACTAAAGACAAAACAAATAAAAAACCTAAGAGATTAGGGATTTCTGCTATTTCTTTGAGGTAATGGCGTGTCTTCCTAAAACAGCATGCTTAGTTTATGTCCAAAAGTAGACTCAGGCAGGAATAAAATCTTTACTTATAGCAGCTTTCTTTTATTTTAGAATGTCACAAACTTTCAGGAAACATCTTTGTCCATAATAAACACAAAAATATAATCACAAACTTATTGGGAAAAAAATCCAAACTCCTGCTTTGGGATCAGCAATAAATTTTGATTATCCAAATCTGCCTTGTTCTCTCTTAATCAACTTAACAACAACAACAAATATATATAAATTGACAGACTGTGGCAAGAAGTCATAAGGATTTTCTTTAGCTGTGTTGATGCATACCTATAAACCCAGTATTAGGTTTGAGTCCAGTCTGGATTGAATAGAGTGCCATGACAAACAATAAAGCAATGAGTTAACTTCAAATTTGTCTATTCTAAAATTGAGTCAGTAATGCTGATATGGACACTAGGCCTTAATTCAGTATTCCTAATAATGATGAAACTGCGAACCTGGGTTCATTATAACTGTAGTCCTAAACAACTGGCTCTGTGCCATATGCTGAAACATGACAGCTGGAGGAGAATATGGAACACGATATAAGACACGCTGAACAGCAAACGGCATCTAAAATATGGTGGGTAGCTGTGGGAGCCCGTTCTCAGGTTCCTCGTGGCTTTACCCAGCAGGTCCGCATAGAGGATGATCAGGACCACGGGCCTGAGTGCAGGTGTCTGGGATGGTCTGCACTTGGCTGTGCTGGGGGAGGAGGTCTTTTGCTCCACCCTTTGGCATCTCTATAAAAACCCTGGGGCAGAGACAGTCGGGCCGTCTAGTTAAGAGAATTTTTCTAATAGAGATAGTGATAATTAAGAGTAAGAAGTAGAAAAAGATGAAAATAAGATGTGAGTTTGTAGAAATTATTCTCTTGTTAGATCTCTGTGTTAAGAAATCTTTGGGTGTTTGCTAAGTTAAATATATACTAATGGTAGCCCTATATAAGTTTGTAAAAATAGATCTACAGAGTTCCTTTAAGAATATATATAAGCTTGCAAGAAGTATCTAAAGTAGTCTTAAGACATGTAGTAATAAGCTTGTAAGAAGTAAAGATGCTAGCTGTCAATGTAAGTTTAAATAAGAAATAAGATGGAATGAACATAAATAATAAGAAATATATTTTGCTAAAGTAGTTCTATAGTTCCCTTAAAGAGTATAAATAAGTAGATGTTAATGTTATATGTGAATTTGTAAAAAAAGAAAAGTGTAAATGTTAAGTGTGAATCTATTAAAGTATATGGTGAAAGAATCCGAGACACAGAAGGTTAGTGTCCCAGTAGACTGCAAAGTAGGCAGTCTGAATGGTTTCAAAAGCTCCAGAAGCCGCTAAGAAGCTAAGAATGGTGGACGCCAGAACCAGCACAACAAGGCATCCGCAGCTGAGACCCGTGGAAAATAAAGGATAGCCTCGAGAGGGCCTGGAACCTATTCCAACGGCCCGACTGTCTCTGCCCCAGGGTTTTTATAGAGACGCCAAGGGGTGGAGCAAAAGACCTCCTCCCCCAGCACAGCCAAGTGCAGACCATCTCAGACACCTGCACTCAGGCCCGTGGTCCTGATCATCCTCTATGCGGACCTGCTGGGTAAAGCCATGAGGAACCCGAGAACGGGCTTCACAGGTCCCCCTTTCTTAATATATATATAAAACTATTAATGGCTTACAGCAATTATATAAATAGGTTTCTGCGAACATACATTCAACCTTAATTCACTCATAACTCCTCCTTTTCTTTATAATTTATTTTCTATCTGTTTATCTCCGCAATAAATCCTTCTATCTAATATTTCCTGCTGCTCACACTCAAGAAAACTCTGGGGAACTCTGGGGGTGGTGGGTAAACGCCCCACAGGTAGCCCCATCTGGAAATGGCAAAGGCAACTTTAAGAGTTCACTGGGGAGCCGGGCGATAGTGGCGCACACCTTTAATCCCAGCACTCAGGCGGCAGAGGCAGGCGGATCTCTGTAGTTTGAGACCAGTCTGGTCTACAGTGAGTTTCAGGACAGCCATGGCTACACAGAGAAACCCTGTCTTGAAAATCCAAAAAAGAAAAAGAAAAAAAGAGCTCCCCGGGGACTATAAAAGCCAGAAGGTCAAGGGTCAGGGACTTTGCTATGAGACTGTGTCTTCTATTACATCAGAAGCAATACCCATAAAGTCTCACAAATATGACAGCCCAAAAGTGAGCTGAACAAGGACACCAACGAACATGCCAAACTGGACAGGGAAAGCCCATGAGGACTTAACCCTACACAAAGGACTACAGGCAACTGAGTAAAGCTGGGAGTGGGTGAGGTGGTCCTCCTTCGGGAAAGGCACACCAATTGGTTGTTCAGTACCAAATGGACAGCCCTGAAAACTACATTATATGGACTCAACTGGTATATTTAGGACTATGTATGTATGTACAAATACATATATGCATGCAATAAAAATTGATTAAAAAGATCTGGAGAAATGGCTCAGAGGTTAAGAGCACTGGCTGCTCTTCCAGAGGTCCTGAGTTCAATTCCCAGCAACCACATGGTGGCTCACTGCCATCTGTAATGAGAACTGGTGCCCTCTTCTGGTGAGCAGGCATACATAGAGGCAGAATAATGTTGTATACATAAATAAATCTTAAAAAAAAAAAAAAAAAAAAAGAGGGCATGAATTTGAAGGAGAGCAGGGAGGGGTGTACGGGAGGGTTTAAAGGGAAGAAAGGGAAGGGAGAAGTGTTGTAATTAAATTACAATCTCAATTATACAATATGGTAAAGAACCTATGTAGAATGCTTCCAAAGAATAATGGGTTTTAACAGAGAAGAACATTAAAAGCCTCACAAACTTAAAAGACTCCAAAAGTGATTCTAATATGTGGCCTAAATTGAGAAGTCTAAGCACTAAGAGACCTCTGTAGCCTGAACAATAATCTATCCAAGCCACGTTACTTTGGCTGGTGCAATGTAAACATGTGCCATGTGTTTCCTTTCTACAGCATTCTGTCGCTTTCACTGACATTTAATTCAGAGCACTTCTAATTCAGAGCACTTCTAAGTCCCCGAATAATGAACAAACCATCCAGAAACACCAACTCTGAGCTGAGTGAACTGGGTACCAGTTTATGAAAACCTTTTTTAAAGAGTCTATTACCAAACAAAAATAGAACCCGGAGAGGAAAATTCACCAAAGCATAATCCAGTATTTGTCACTAGGGCCAAAACTCAATTGTCTTAAGTTTAAAAGCAATTAGAGAGTTTTCCCAGGGACACAGTGCAATTGTACTCTCCTAGTAGACAACAAACACTTCAAACTGAAGAAGGACCTGCTTAAGACCTGACTTTTTTTCCCCCAGAAGCTAGAGAAAAGTTCACAAAAAGAAGTATCCTGATACTCATTCTTCTCTACTATTTAGGCTACTTGGGCTAATCCCTCAAAAGGCCAGTGAGGAAGCTCAGTGCTAAAGGCACTGGGTGTCCAAGCCTGTGTGTGACCTGGATCTGACCCCTGGAAGCAGTATGAAGGTGGAAGGGAAGTTGCCCTCTCACTTTCACTGTGCACTGTGGCACGCACACCAACAAACATCGACACCCACACACACCCCAAATAATTTTTTAAAGGCTTGTGCTATGTTCATTTCAAACAGAAGGAAGAAAGTTCAGGAGTTAAAATACAAAAAAAATAAAATAAAATAAAAAACTGGTTCTAAAGGAAATGGCTAAGCAAGAGATATGGTTCTTCCAACTGACCTTTACCAAAAAGAGTCCGAAACACTGTTAAGTGAACTAATCGACCAAATATCAACCTAAACCTCAATAGCTCTAAATGTTCTGGATCTCTCTCTCAAGTCTTCTTGGAAATTAGTAGGAGTTACAGTATTGTACTAGCCATCATAAAATGATACCTGCTATGTATTTCAAGCAATAAATTTTCAAGGTCGCTAGGGATAACCTTTCTCTTTATTTTTATTTATTTTGGGGGGTATTTTGAGACAGGGTTTCTCTGTGTAGTTTTGGTGCCTTTCCTGGATCTGCCTGACTCTGCCTCCGGGGTGCTGGGATTAAAGGCATGAACCATCACCACCTAGATAACCTTTCTCTTTAATTTGATAACAAATTTCTATCTCTGTAGGTCACAGCTAGGAATAATACATTAAAAACAGATCTTCTGTTTGTTTGTTTGTTTTTTGATAAAAAGGTCTTGCTATGTTGCCCAATTTGGTCTACAACTACCCTGGAGCTCAAGTGATCCTCCTGCCTCAGACGACTCCAGGTACATACAACTGTGGAGATAATTTCTGAATACGTAAGGAAGCTTAAGTGCTCAGATACTGTTATCTGTTTAACCGTCACAGTAACTCTAAGAGGTGAGTGCTTACATTACAGATGAGGAAGGAGAAGCCTGAAAAAGTAAGTATTTGGAGTTTTTCTTCTGTGCTCAAGGTTCCAAACCCTAAGCTGGTGAGATGGCTTAGGACAGAACCCCTGCCTGACCCGAGTTTAATTCCTAGGAATCACAGGGTAGGAGAGGATCAACTCTTGCAAATTCTTTTTTGACCACTTCATGTGCACTGTAGTACACATATACACACACCCAAATAAAATAAAAGTGAAAATGTTTTGAAGTTCCAAACCCTTAGATAATCCCCCCAATTTGAGGCACCTCAATTTGTCAATGAAGAGAAAGGATAATATATACAGCAAAGAGAAAAAAGGAATATTACATATATGGCCCAGGGTTGTGTGTGTGTGTGTGTGTGTGTGTGTGTGTGTGTGTGTGTGTGTGTGTGTGTGTGTAGTGGCGGGGGTGGGTGTAGAGGTAGGGGAGTAGGGGTGGGGGTCCGAGTCAGGGTTTCTCTGTAGCCAGAGCTACAAATCTGGCTGTCCTGGAACTCACTCTAGACTAGGCTGGCTTTGAACTCATAGAGATCCACCTGCCTCTGCCTCCCAAGTGCTGGGATTAAAGGTATGTGCCACCACCACACGGCTCCAGGGCTACTTTTTGCTCTTTGAAGTTCTTGGTATGGGCTGGAAAGATGGCTCAGTGGTTAAGGGCACTGACTGCTGTTCTAGAGAACTGGAGTTCAATTCCCAGCACCCACATGGCAGCTCACAACTGTCTGCAGCTATAGTTCCAGGGGATCTGACACCCATGGCAAAATACCAATGCATATAAAGAGGTAAAAAATAAATTCAAAAAAGTTCTTGGTAAATTTCACTTTCACTTACATTTCTAATACTTATTTTTATATGTATGAGTGTTTCTGTCTGTCTGTATGTTTGGCAAGTACGTGCGTACAGTGCTTACAGAGGTAAGAAAAAGGTGCCTAATTCTATGGAATTGGAGTTACAGATGGTTGTGAGCCATCATTTGAGTACTGGGAACTGAACGTGGATCCTCTGCAAGAGCAGCAAGTGCTCTTAACAGATGACATCTCTATGGCCCCTCATTTTGACTTTTAAGAAGAGGACACAATAATAGTGGATCTGAAGCTTGAATATCAGTCAATATAGAACAGCTAGCTAATGTTTGGGGATTTTGTTGTTTCCTTTGGAAACAGGGTCTACTACAAGAGGCTTACCTTGAACTCTCAAGCTCCTGTCCCACAAGCCTCGGAAGAATGGGATTATAAATATACATCATCACAGCCAGCAGGAGAGCGAATGTTAAAATGCAAATGGTGGGGACCTGAGGCCAAGGGTTCACCTGCAAGTCTGGCTGAAGTCTGGCACTGGAGTCTTTAACCAGCCCCCAAGGCTGATGCCGCTGAAGGCACAGGGAGGGAGGCCTGCTTTCATTCTCATCTCAGTTACCACTTCATGTGAAAACACTTCTCTGGAGTACTTTCAAAAGAAAGACACTAAGGGCTGAAAAATACCTCCAGGGTCTAAAAGCTAAGGGATTTCCCTCCCTGCCTCCTTCCTCCCTCCTTCCCTTCCTTTCCTGTTCTGAAGCCAAAAAGGTACCACTGACATTAAGACCATGAAGATTCAAGACCAAGAAAGAGTTACAGACAGATGCACATAGAGTGAGCAAGAACTCTGTTACCATCTCAATTTTTCTTTTTCATACTGGGGGAAAAACAAACAAAACCCAAAAAACCCTTTCCTGTTGGTCTCCTATGGCAAAAGAAAAATGCTAAAAGAGAGGTCACTCTGTAATACCAGCCCCCATAATGGAGATACACTCTTTTTTTAAAAATAAAATTATTTATTTATGTACATTTTTATGTATGAGTGCTTTGTCTGCATGTATGCCTGCATACCAGAAGAAGGCACCAGATCCCACTATGGATGGTTGTGAGCAATCATGTGCTTGTTGGGAATTGAACTCAGGACCTCTGGAAGAGCAGCCAGTGCTCTTAACCTCTGAGCCATTTCTCCAGCCTGGAGATACACTCTCTTAAGATCTATTATATCTTACTATTTTTATTTATGTGTGGGTGTCTGTATGAACGCCAGACGTGTGTTGTGCCGGCAGAAGCCAGAAGAGGGCGTTAGATCTCTTACAGCTGGAGTTGTAAGTGGTTGTAAGCCACCTGACATAGATGCTGGGAACGTGGGTCCTCTGCAAGAGCAGCAAGTGCTCTTAACTGCTAAGCTTTAACTCTCTAGCCCCCTTAAGTATAATTTTGTCCTATAAATAGAAAATTTCAAAATGCTCTAAATTACCCTCCCTAATTCTCTTCCAGAATTCTGTTCTCTATCTCACATGAACTTTGCCTCTTAATGAGACAGAGCTAAAGTCTAAGGCAACATAAGCACTGACACTAATATCATCTAGGACGAGTAACTTCAGGGAAAAGCATTTGATACAAATGTCTCCTCAGACAGCCAAGGACATTTCTTACGTGGGTGCTCTCATCCATGACTAAACTGTATCAAGAGAAATATACTTTAAAATATTAATATGGACTGGCACCTTCCTGATGCTAATTCTTCCAAGCCCACTCCAATGGTACAACTGGGAAATTAACTGAAGAGGAAAGCAATCTTCCCTCCACTCTCTACTTCAGACACTCCTCCTCCATAGCACTGCCGTGTAAAGAATCATTCTATACAAATACAGATAAAACATGCTCACACACACAAATAACTCTCAGCAGGATCCAAAAATCAAAGCCTAACCCCATGGTTTTTAAGTGAACAAGTCCAATTTCCTTCTTTGTGGCTCTTGACACATGCTGGCGAGAAGCTGTCTGGATTTTTTATGCCTTGTTCCTGCCCCAGAAGGCTCTGCACTGCAGGTCAGAGGATGATAAGGAAATGAACAGTGTAATTTCCAAGGCCTCTGAACACAGCCCTGTCAGCAGCTCTGGAGGCAGGTTACTCAAGCATGGCTTGAAGAGTGCAAACCACAGAGAGGAGGGCTCAGGCAGTCAGCAGTGGCAGATCTCAGCTGTGTGTGTTATTGCCACCTCTAGCCTGAAAGCACAGGCCCTGCTGCCTCCCTGGATAAGCCCTGCTGGTAAAAGCTCTTGTATCCAAAAGGCAAAAATACAAATTCACATCAGGGAAGGAAAATTAAGGACCAAGACTTAGATTTTATTTTTCCTTGCGCGCGTATGTAGCAACAAAAGCACTGTTCTTCCATGCTCTGCTATGAGACAGTATATGCTGGCAGACACACAGCAACATCCATCCAACATACCCAACACCACTCCAGGGATTTGGCCAAAAAGAAATGCAATTCACATGAAATCTGAAATGCAATGAGGCTACTTCAATACCTCTGAAACCTATTTTTGGTCTTTTGAGGCTTTAGAACATAGCACCAGCATGTAAATTTCCCAGCCCAGGTTTGGAACTACTTCTGGGCATAGTGCTGAAAAGTCTTAGCCAATATGTTTATCTGTTCCTGTTGGGCTTCCTGTGCAGTGGACTGTTGTTGTATTTCAGACCATTATTGCCCAGGACAGACTGACACATACTTCAACTTAAATCATTTTTTTTTCTAACAGTTACTGAATGCTGCCTATGTGTTACATTCTAAGTATACCATTCTAAGTGTTTTCTCTGAGTCAACTAATGTAATTTTTTGTTCTGTAAACAAGATTTTGCTATGTAGCCTTAGCTATCCTAGGATTTCTTATGGGGACCATGCTGACCTTGAACACATACAGATCTGCTGCCTCTGCCTCCCCAGTGCTGGGATTAAAGATGTGTGCCATGAGGCCCAACAGCTAATTATCTTGCAATAACCTATGTGCATATTCTTATTTTCCACGTGATAGCTGGCGCAGAACAGTTAAGTAACTTGGTCAAGATTCAGAAGTACAGATGAGATACAAACTCCAGCAGTCAGGCTACAGAGCACATTCTTCAAATAAGAAAAAAAATTAGAAAGGGGGGTAAGGTAGGAGTGTGAGTGTGTCTGTGTGTCCATACATGCATTTGTCATGGTTTAGGTGTTAAGATGAAAGGACAATTTGAGAGTCAGTTCTCTTCTATCATGTGGGCTCTGAGAATCAAACTCAGGTCATTGGACTTGGCAGGGACCCTTAACCTTGCCAGCTCCAGAATACACTTACTCTTAATCACAAAATCATACATAAAACAATGTGAAATTTACATTAAAGCTGGTTTTGAAATTAGAAATGGCTCCCAATATGTACCTCACAAAGAAAATGTACAATGGTTCACAAAAGCTCTTTAATGTATACTGCCTCTGCCTGGTCTACAGAGTAAGTTTAAGGACAGCCAGAACTACACAGAGAAACCCTGTCTCAAAAAACAACAACAGTACTATCTGGGCCATTGAAGATGTTTCAGCAAGTCAAGAAAGATTATCTGCTTTTTAAGCCTGATGACCTGAGTTTGATCCTGGGACCCACATGTGAAAGGAGAGCACTGACTCCTATAGCTTGTACTCTGACCTCCATATATGCGCCATCCCCCCAAAATAAGTAAATAATATGTAATAAAACCAAACAATTAATATTCATAATATCCTCGACAATCTAACAGTGATGTGCTCTGGTAAGCAGCACTGGACAGGATCATCTGCTGATGTAACTGCCAAACAGGAAAGGAACTAGCACTAGATAAAGGACTGTATAAGTCGCATATAACTCCTAGTTACACAGGATGAGTAAATTCTAAAGTCTATACAATATAGGATCATTATAGCTTGAAGCACTAGAAGAAGAGAATTTGAAGGTTTCCAACACAAAGAAATGGTAAGTGTTTAAGAAGATAGAAATGCTAATTATCCTTACTTGGGTATTATACATTGTATAAATATATCAAATGAACACTGTACTCCTTAAGATATACAATTAATGTATGTCAACTAAAAAAAGGACCTGGCAGTGCCTCAATGACTTCGGTGAAAATTGGCTGAAAGAAATATTTTGGCATATACATATCTTAAGGAGTCAAGTTCAAAGAAGCAGTTTAAAAGCAATTATCTCTCTCCTATAAAAGACATATTATTCCCTATCTTATCTATGAATGGTCATTCTTTTTTCCTCCATTTGTGTGTGCGTATATGTGCGTGTGTGTGTTGCACATACCTGCAACTTCAGAGCTGTGGAGTGAAGGAGACAGAAGGCCTGACAGGGTTGCTGACTGTCAGGCTACCTCTAGGTTCACTGAGAGACCCTGTCTCAAGGGAATAAAGCAGAGTACTAGAGCAGGGCACCTGGCCTTCAAGTTTCTGTACAAGCACAGACACACAAAGACTCCCCACCCCCCTGGTGCTAAGCAAAACAAACCTGGCTTTAACCAGATGTGGTATGATAGCTCACACCTGTAATCCCCACACTCGGGATACCAAGGAAGAAGGATTGCTGTAAAAACACTAGCCTGGGATACAAAGTGAATTCAAGGCTCACAAGGCACAAAGATCCAGACTCAAAAGAAAAAAAAAAAAAAAAAATCAGATAAAATCTCCCAAACAGCAATTAAAAAAAAAAAAAAAAAGCTTGCTTCCATCTCTGAGAGCCTGGGAAAGTCACATGACCTCTCTTAGTCTTAGCTTCCTGTCTCAAAATGGGGAAATTGGACAAGATAATCTTTCTCTGGGCTCTCCTTGAATTACAACACTCATAAGGAAAACAAGAGCTGATGAATAAAAATAAATTATGCTTGTAGTTAGACAATGCAACTTGGACCCACTTAAGAACCAGCTTTGTATTTTTTCAGAGAAGGAAAATGCTTTAGGACATTTGGCTTTAGGAAACAAGGCTGGCTGCTATACTGTCAAGAACAGAAAAGAACAGCAAGTTAGGAGGAAGGCATCAGAAAAGCCTTGGATCAGAAAGAATAAGAGATCTGACCTAGGTTGGGCAATGAAGGATTGCAACATAAAAGCCATGAGCTGGAAGGCATAAACTAGAATGGGAAACCAAGGGCAAAAGAAGATGCTCTCTGAACACACATAAGATAGAACCCAAAATCTGCAGGCACAAAAGCTAACAGCACCCTTAACTGTTTTCTTTGTTTTCTAAACGAATGAGGAAAGTGGTAAATGAGCAAAGCATTTTGAAAGTGACAGAAGCTGATACCCAAACATTGCCAAAGCAGAGTGTAAAATAAAAAGCAACTGCTAAGGAAAAGGAAGATTGGGACTGCAAAATTCTAGACCCTAACCACTAGAGCTGACTTGGAGAAAATTTAAATTAATGCCTCATCTGAAACTCCTGAACATACACCGACAGTCAGCACGGATAGATCACTGCTGTCGTGTTTGTGAATTCCTTTTCTCTTGCCTGTCAGAGTGGTGGCAACAAAAGCAGTGAGCTCAGGATACTCCGACAGGCGTCCTGCCTCCTCCTCCTCCCACCTCTCCTTCCATCCTTAACCTAACAACCTATCAATCAAGTCAAAAGCAAGGAAGCAGGCAGGAGCCAGAGGCTCCACCTGTTTATTCCTCGACATTCCCTCCCCCATCTCTTCAGGAGTGTTCAACAATTCAGGGCAGCAGTGGCTGCTAAGAGCCATCTCAGTCTCTCCAGTAAACTCTGCCAGGAAGATGTGGTGGAGCAAACATTAGATTCCCTGAGGGGAAGACACAGCCTCTCAGAACAGAAAATTCCTCAGTCACAATGCCAGACACTTATCTTCATAGAGAAAGCCCTGGGGTAGGTAATTTGAATATTCAACCCCTGATTAGCTAGTACTCAACAGGGGACGATTCTAACTAGTACATCAGACTCTGATCCTACTTGGAAAAGGGGACAATTGGGGCTGGAGAGATAGTTCAGGGGTTAAGAGCATTTGCTGTTGTTGCAAAGAACCCAATTTCAGTTCCCGGAATCCACAGGGTGGCTAACAATTATCCATAATTCCAGTTCCAGAGAATTCATACCTCTTCTGGCCTCTCTGGGTGCTGAATACCTGTACACAGACAAAACAGGCAAATTCAGGCAAACACCCATATACATAAAATAAAAATAAATAAATCTTGAAGGGAAAAAAAGGGCAGCAGAAGATGTGATGCCTTAGTCAAGATATCTTCCACATTTAGAGTTTCTCCTCTTCATGATAGCTCCCAGCTTGATTATCACACATGTTTTGCTGTTTGGATTCTGTTGATTATCCTTACAAAAAGTAACATTCCAAACCAGTTATATCAGAGGCAAGCCCATATTTCAGGGGAAAAAAATCTTGAAGAGGTTTCAAAGATTGTTTGCAAATAAACTACAGCACTGATCAACCCTCCCTGAGCAGCTATTGTATGCAACACCCTGGGCTTCCAAGTTCTCAAAAGCTGATGCCCCCTGCAAAGCTCTCCCTACCTTTGTGTTCAGAGTCCAAGGCCCTGTGCATTCTGGCCAACAACCACTCCTCCATTGAGCTACAACCCCAGACCCTGTCCTTTCTTTCACTTTGACTCCTCCCCTCTTCCCATTCCAGAAATGCTTTTTCCTTGCAGAGTGTGTTCATCTCCTAGCAACTTCCAAACATTTACTTAAATATTGTACTAACCAAAGACAATACAATAAAGCACCTTTGAGTAAGTGTGTCCAAACGGGGTTCCAGAGTACAAGGTAAGGATTTTTAGAAAACAGACTCAGCATCAGAGGTTTATGTTAGTCATCTCAGCACGGCAGAGGCAGAGTTAGGAGGACTATCTCAAATTCAAGAGCAGTCTGTCTAGCCGAGTGTGGTGGTGTACACCTTTAGTTCCAGCACTCTGGAGGCAAAGGAAGGCAGATCTCTCTATGAGTTCGAGGCCAGCTTGGTTTACAAAGCAAGTTCCAGGACAGCCAGAGCAGGGCAACACAGAGAAACCCACAGAGAAACCCAGGGAGGGAGGAAAAAAAAGAGAGAAACAACAAACCAACCAAACAAACAAACAAAAAAGAACAGCTTGGTCTTTACAGTAAGTTTCAGGCAAGACGTGGCTGCATAAGATCTGTACGAAAAGAAAAATCACAAACAACAAAAAAGTAAACTTGTGCTTATGGTAACACTGGACTGTACAAAAAATTGAATGCTTCTCAAAATACTTCCCAGAAATTATTTTCTCCCAAAATATGAAGCACTATCATTTTCCCTTCTCTCTCTCATTTGACTGCCCCATTCTTAGTCTACCAGGGAGGTAAAGCTTACATCAAAGTTACATTAAGGAGTAAAACTCGGTAGCACCAAGATGTAACAGCTAAAGGTACACTATCTTTCAGGCCATTTAGCTTAAAGGTGGTCACCTAAACAGTCTATGCACCTCTAAGAGAAAACAGATTCCATTTCTTCCTTAAAGAGAATCATGAACACAACACAAAGCTAAGCAATATTAATCCTTTCACCCACAAACCGCAATTGAATTTAGAAGTTTCCAACACAAGTACTTTAAACGACGACAAGGAGATGAAGACCACCCTCAGCAGCACCTTTCCACACAGGAGGACAATGATCGTGAACATGGATATATGGCAGGGACTTCCTGAAGCCAGATGTAGAGAATAGTCTAATAGGCCTGGAACAGTAGCAAGAACTCCTGGTACTCCCAAGCCTCTTTAAAACAGCATTATCCATCTGCACCCCAGAGAAAATGACAAATCACAGCCAGCACAGGATGAACCATGCCAATAACCAGCTGGAACCTGACTCTGCCGAGGTGGACTGCAGCATCTGCCACCCAAACACAGGCAGCCTCTCTGGCAGCTGCCACTGGCAAAAGGGAATCAACCATTGTGTTATGTAACTGGAAGAAATTCACAGCCCTGTTACCACAAGTGCCCAGATGTTGCTAAAAGCTACAGATGTGCCAAAGACAAAGACTAAAATACCTAGAGCAAAAAAAAGCACAAGCTACCACTAAAATCGAGGCAAGAGGGTACCACCACCCAAATACATATATCCAGCCTTTATTTATTAACACTTACATATGGAAATAGGTATTCCCTGCTGCAGCTGATGTAATTACAGAGAAATCAATTTATGCCGCATCTGCTGCGATCAGCTGAATGCATAGGGCGAGCAGAGCAAAGCAGAAAATCAAGAGCCAAAGAACAGCTCATCAACAGGCCAGCTGCTTTGTAGGAAACTGTAGGCTGCTCAAGTTTGAGGCAGCCTGAGGTGACCCTAGACTGGAAACTATTCTACTATAGCCCTGCAAGCTTCATTTCCTGAAACATCAACTAAGATCACTTTCCTGGAGGGAGGGACTCAGTCCTAATGCCTCCTGGGGTTGCAGGCACCTATGCTTCCAAGTCAAGCAGAAGGGGAGGTATCATTAAACTATTTGGCAGCAATAAAACCACCAGGAGACTTTGATTTCCGATGGTTGCGGGAGATAACTGGCAGACAGCAATACTTTCAGGGGCCAAAGAATTTCTAGGTCAAACTTCTAAAGCTACCACAGTAACTCCTAAGGCCGGATTAATGCTGATAGTAGAGTCAGTGCGTCCTGCCCCTTGTTTACTAGACTGGTATCTATATCACTTTGTTTTTTGGTAGCTACCAATAGAACACTTAGCAGATATACCATGACAATTAACTCTTTGTACTACCAGAGACCCAGCAGTACCATTTATCCCATTAAGAACATCATTCAAGGGGCTGGAAAGATGGCCAAGCAGTTAAGAGCACTGGCTGTTCTTTCAGAGAACGGGGTTCAATTCCCAGCACCCACAGTGAAGCTTACAACTGTCTGTGACTGCAGTTCCAGGGGATCTGATGCCAATGTAAGTAAAGTTAAATAAAGTTTAAAAAAAATTCAGCTTAAACATGTAACCAAAAGTCTATTACATTTATCAACTATTATAATTCTGATAATAAAACTTCAGCCAAGCAAGAAATCACACCAAGATTTAATGTCAGCCTCTAACAACAAGTGTCTGACATGTGACAATAACAAGGTGTGAGAAGGTTCTACCAAGTAGCTGACCCCCAAACAGAAATCGTATTCCAAGAGGTCTGAGCCTGCTGCAAATGACTCTGTAGGGAATCCTTTAATTTGGAACAAAAGCACATTATCATTACCAGCTGCTCTGACCTTGTAATTGGTCATTACCCACAAACTAATGAGCCTCCCACAGAGTGCACACAACACTTGGCAGTTAGTCCAGGGCAGTTCTGACAGGCAGTGGGCAGCCAGACCTGGCCACCTCTTACCTTTTCAGACTTGACTTTCTTTAGTGGCCGACACTCATTCTCCCCTTCCTCTGGCTCCGGCTTAGTTCCCAAAGGATTGAGCGCTGCCCCAGGTTCAATAGCTATACTCCCAAGTGGCTCCACGGCTCCTGTATCCATCCCTGCACTTCCATCATACTGACCACCCCGTCCTCCCAAGGGCACTGGCTGGAGGACCCCAGGATCCTTTTCCGAACAAGTCCCCACCCCTTCACTCCTCTCCTTCTTGCTCTTAGATGAGCTGTTCTCCTTCTCCTTTTTGGAGCCAGCCACACTGCGAGATGCCTTAGCAGCCTTCTCCGAGGCCTTGGGGCCAAGAGCAGCAACCAGGCCTCCTGCGTTGGTACCCTCTCCAGAGCGACCCTGCGCTTCTTTCTTGTTTCCTGCTCCCTCACTTGGAGAGAACAAGGAAGTCCCTGGAGTGGGCTTGCTAGAGTCTTTGCCACTCTTATTCCTTTTGGATTTTGATTTGCCTTCCTTTCCTTGAGGACCTGGCACTGGGGTCACAAACTTGATGTTGTCTGGTAGTGTGGCCACAGCATTGGGAGCTGGTATCCCCACCTCCTTCGAGCCTGACATTTCCAGTTTCTGCTGGTCCTTTTCCAGATCGGCGTCCAGGTCAATGATGAGATTCCCTACTCCAATGTCCCATTCATCCCCACTGTCGTATGTCTCAACCGGGTTTGCATCCACTCCTTTCCCTCCGGAGGCTCCACTGCTCAAGGACATCTTAGAGTCAACGTCCCACCTCAAGATTCAAGGCTCTTCCTTGCCCCCAGCTTTCCTATTTTCAGCTTCAGCTATGTTCTCAGATCTGTCTCCTTGGTCAGTACATGTCCAGTGGACACCATCATTGCTGGAAAAAGAAATTTAAAAAGCTATTAAAGAAAACAATACAGGCAAGGAAATAGCCTGAAATAAACTCCCATACAAAACAGACCCTTTCTGTGTGGCTCTCATACAAGCTCAGCTGTATTTCCAACCATGCCACACTTGACCTAGAGAAGGTAATTCCCACTCCATCTCCTCAGGGAAGAACACAGTATTTCTAGTTGCCCTAGACTCTGGTGTTAACTAGTAGACCTCCACAATTAGCTCCCCCTTCCTGGAGGACTTAATTTCTTTCTGCTCCACTGCCAAACGGCAATTCTGTCTGAATCAGTGCAGGCCCCAGCACATCACAGACTGAAGCTGCCTACAACAACCCTGCTCACACCCCCTTTCTGCTAGCTGCTTGAATTATCAGTGACTCAGAACGTGATCTAGCAAAAGCCTTAACAGCTCTCTACTAATAGGGCCAATCTCTCCTAAAACTAGTATACAGATTCTTTGTCATTGTGGGATTAAAGAAAAAGCTTTATTATGGTTAAGGAAAAGAAAAAAAAAAAGCAGAACTAAGGAAAATGCAAATTCAGTGTGTAACTGCAACCAGAGCAAACAACGTTCAGAGGAGACTCAACCTATGACTTGAGCCCAGAGAAGTTACAAAGTCCTAATCAAACTCCAGGCTGGAAATCATGTCTACAAAGCAGGGTTCAATATAGCCTTTCAGCCGGGCGGTGGTGGCGCATGCCTTTAATCCCAGCACTCGGGAGGCAGAGCCAGGCGGATCTCTGTGAGTTCGAGGCCAGCCTGGGCTACCAAGTGAGTTCCAGGAAAGGCGCAAAGCTACACAGAGAAACCCTGTCTCGAAAAACCAAAAACAACAACAACAACAACAAAAAAAACAATATAGCCTTTCCTGATAAAATATTTAGAAAGAAAAATGTTTTCCTTGACTCTGCTGAAAGCCTATCTCCCAAAAGTAGAATAAGTCTCCACTTTGTTATAGTAAGATTTCAAGAACTGACTGAAAAACACTAAGGCTTTACCGCACATGGAACAGAGACTGGCTTTAAAAGGATAATTTATGTCTCTCCACTGTCTTCTGGCTTAGGAGACCTAGAGAGAAACATCATCTAGAAAACTCAGCAACCAATGTGCACCATCCAGGTACTACTTTATGCTAAAGCCAAAAGTTTGTTCTTGCTTATTCATCTATGTACTATCTTTCTATATCTGTTTAGAAAAAACAAACAAACAAACTTTTTAACACAATTGTGTATAAAGAGCAAGCCAGTTGTGTTGTGGAGCATCTGGAAAGTGATTATGTAACACGTAAATGATTCACCCAGGACAAGGCAAGCTGTGACTTGCCACCTAGTCTGTCGTTGTAACAGTGTCTACAAAACTAGGATCCTGAGGCCAAAAAAAAGTCATTCCAGAAGAATAGGGCTGTACCAAGTGAACACATATAAGTAACTGAGATTTTAAGCAAGAAGTGATGTATCTTAATATGCAATTTAGCTTTAGATGTGAGAAGTAGACCTACTTCTCATTACCTAAGTAGAAAGTTTATTGTCAACAGTCATCAATTACTATTTATTAGCAAATATTAATTCTACATAAACCTTGCTTCCTATAGGATGAGCTAAAGTAAGAGTGGGAGACTAAGCTGTAACAGCTAAGAGAAGAAAAATTATCCTATTAAGGGTAAAGGAAATATAACCCCTGAAGAGTCAGAGAGATATGGATTTTACTTTCTTCTTCTTCTTCTTCTTTTTTTTGGAGCCTTGTGCTTGCTAGGCAAGCGCTCTACCACTGAGCTAAATCCCCAACCCTCCCCCCCCCCCCACAAGATTTATTTATTTATTATGTATAGTGTTCTGTCTGCATGTATGACTGCAGGCCAGAAGAGGGCACCAGATCTTGTTACAGATGGTTGTGAGCCACCATGTGGTTGCTGGGAATTGAACTCAGGACCTCTAGAAGAGCAGTCAGTGCTCTTAACCTCTGAGCCATCTCTCCAGCCCCGAGATACGGATTTTCAAAGTGACCTAAGAATTCTAAAGAAATTTTTAGTGAACTATTTGGAATTTTTAATACTCAAGAAGACTTGACTTTCAAGAGTAGTATAACAGATATTAGTTCATTCACCTGACGTTCTTAAAACTTATTTCCTGTCGAGCAGTGATAACGCACACCTTTAATCCCAGCACTAAGGAGGCAGAGGCAGGCAAATTTCTGAGTTTGAGGCCAGCCTGGTCTGCAGAGCTAGTTCCAGGACACCCAGGACTACAGAGACTACCCTGTCTGGAAAAACCAAAAACAAAACCCAACAACAACAACAAAAAAACCCAAAACAAAAAAAAACTTATTCCCTAGGATGTACCAGGAATTAAACGAATGTTAGGAATATAACAACAAATCAGTAAACAAAGCAACAGAAGTAGTATTAAAAGTAATCCTCCTGCAAGGAGCTAAGGGCATTTTTAGGAAAGGGAATGCTAAATTGAATTCCCACTACAGAGTATTATTACAGCACAGATCTTCCCCAACTTATAATGTATCACCTCTGCAATCTCTTTAATTGTTGCTAGGTTTAACATCTACTCCACATTAATTAAGAGTTTACTTACCATCTCCAGAGCTGTATTATTATTAGTGTGCAATTTAGCCACTGAATGACCTCATGTTGTTTTACTCTTGGAAAACCACTATAACTTTCCTTAGATTTAAGAGACTTTTCTCTAGAAAACAGGATGGTAATAAAGAGAGAGTGGAGAAGAGAAAAGAAAAGTACAAACATAAAATGACTGGGACTTGCTAACAGTTCTTTCTACTATCCTGGCTGACTCGTGTAAGAGCAGGATAAAGTATGCCAACAAGGAAGAAAAGCATTAAGAAGGCAACAGTCTGAAATGAAAAGATGTAACTTAGTTGAAAGGACAAAAGGACATACCACTAAGCGCTTGCCTAGTTGCTTACACACAAAGAAAGGAAGATGCACGTAAACAAAATTCAGTACCAATTAAAACCAGAGCAATAAAAAAAGCACAAAGATGAATCTACGCAATAAGCATGCAACGTTATTTTTCCAGAATACAAAGAGAATGAACAATAGAGAGAAAATAATAAAGGAAACAGATGCCATTTAGTACTGCTGAAGAGACTAAAATAAATGGGAGAAAAGTAACCTATCAAAGGCAAAATACAGGAATAACACCTTGAGTAGAACAAAGACCTTGCATGCAGACTGAAAATGATCACTAAAGGTTCAGCAAATTCATTTATTTAGAGACAGAATCTTAAGCACCCCAAGATGGCTTCAAATTCGATATGTAACTGAAGATGGCCTTTAACTCCTGATCCTCATACCTCTGCCTTCCCATGGCTGGGATGTCAAGCATATACCACCATACTTCGTTTTGTTTTGTTTTGTTTTGTTTTTGAGACTGGATCTCCTTATGTTGCCCAGGCTGACTATGAGCCTCCTGTCTCAGTCTCCAAAACACTTGGAATTACAGACATGTGACCACCATATCTGACTTTATGAAATCAACGGTTTTGAAAAAAGGAAAAAAACAGCCAGGCAGTGGTATTTCATGCTTTTAATGCTAGAACTTGGGAGGCAGTGGCAGGCAGATTTCTATGAGTCAGAGCGAATTCCAGGACAGCCAAGGCTACACAGAGAAACCTTGTCTTGAAACAGCCCCCATCCCCATCCCCCCAAAAAAGACCAGCATGGTTACAATAGATATGGTCTTAAAAATAAACAACAAAAAGGGGATAGGAGAGAAGGGAAAGAAATCTACAGAATTTTGAATAGAAAATTTGTTAGTAAGATAATCTTTTACTGGAAGCTGTAACAAAATAAATAAATCTCTATTTTTTTCAAGACAAGGTTTCTCTGTGTAGCCTGGCTGTCCCTAGAACTGCCCGCCTCTGCCTGGAATTAAAGGGATGCACCACCACACCTGGCTGTAAAAATAAATCCTTTTAAAACTCTTATACTACTGGGTCTGCTGGCAAAGCTACTTGAGAGGATGAGGCAGGACGCTCACAAGTTTGACAATTGCCTAGACTAGAGTTAAGTTCAAGACCAGTTTGTGCATCCCAGTGAGATTCTATCTTAAAAGTAACAAAAACATTTTTTAAGTGGGAAAATAACTTTTTATTTAATTAATTAATTTATTTTACATACCGCCTGCAGTTTCCCCTCTCTTCTCTCCTTCCATTCCCTCCCCACATCAAGACATTTTTAAAAAGGAAATCATTTGGGCCAAATGTTCAGGGTCCTAGTTTCAATCCCAGTGCTGACAAAACAAACAAAAATTATATGAAGTTTTATGTTAAGTTGTTTTCATTTTTTAAAAGATTTGTTTATGTATATTGGTGTTTTGCCTGTGTGTGCACACATGTGCATGCATGGTGCCAGATGCATGCAGTGCACACAGAGGCCAGAAGAGGGCACTGGATTCCCTGAAACTGGCATTATGGATGCTTGTGGGCATTGAGAACTGAACCTGGGTCCTCTACAAGAGTAGCAAGTATTCTTAACCACTGAGCCTTCTCTATAGCCCTGTTTTCAATGATTTAAGAACACACACATATACATATACATACATACATACATACCTATCTATCTATCTATATATCTTGTCAGAAATTACATAGAACACTAAAATCAGTTCCATAAATGTAAACAATTCTTATAAATACAAATACTAAATTATATAACCTGAAGAAAGATTCCATATAAATACTAAAAGTTATCTTTACCTATTAAAAAGTTATTTTTCATCTAGAAAACAATCTATAATTTCTGAATGTCCAGAATATAAAATAAAGACATATTCCAAGGAATGATTTCTAGTGGTCCTGATGTTCTTTTAGAGAGCTCTTGTCCTATTTTTGACAATAAAAAATTGCATAAGCATTACATTATTTCAACCAGGTGACTTTTCAGAAACCCAGCTTTCAAAACTCAGCAGGCTTCATAGTAACTTTGGTGGTACATTTCAAAATATACACTGT